CTTGGGAGGCTGAGGCAAGAGAATCAGTTCAGCCCAGGAGGTGGAGGTTGCTGTGAGCTATAACACCATAGCACTCTACCGAGGGGGACAGCCTGAAGCTATAAAAAAAAAAAAAAAAAAAACAACAAGAGAGAGGCTGTGTGAAGCCTCCCTTTTACAAGCTGAAAACATCAAGGCTGAGGCTAGAACTCAACCCAGTATTCCCTTTTTCATCTTAGTTTCATCCTCTGCAAAATGGGCCCACTCAGATGATACCTTAGTGAGATCGTCACCAAGAGAAAACATGCAAGATCCTGCCAGTTTATGAGTACATAGTACAGCCAAACTGAGTTACTGATCAAGATTTTTTTTTTTTGATATTGTCATTTATAATGTTATGTGAGAATCCTGCAGATTAAAGTTTTGGTTACAATTCTTTAAAAAAAAAGAAAAAGAAAACACGCAAGACAGATTTATCCGTATACTCATTTACTGCATCCCTCTCTTCTCCCAGATAAATTTGAAGCCCAAGTTTGGTCTATCTTGTTTGTTGCTATATTCCCAAGGCCTAAAATGTTATTTTTTACTTAATACGTGACTTAACAAATATTAAATGCAAAATGCCTAGTGTTCAAAAAATGTTAGGTATTATTACTACTGCAACGAAAAGCAATTAAAATTTTATTGTTTTATTAAGAAATGTCACCCCTCCCCCAAGGATCGCACCAATCTAGAAGGAACACTAGATAAATGCTGGAATGGTAAAATAGAGATAAGAATAACAACAGGATCACAGAGCAAGACTAATGAACGACAAAATATAACCAGCGCCCAACCTCGGACTTTTCTGAGCCAGGCGCACATTGGCTGAGCGTAATAAACTGCAATTACAATGACAGTGTTCACGCCTGAGTATGTGCGGCTGTCTGAGTCGCGTTCTACTGGCCTCACTAAACCCAAGAACCCTGGGGGAGGGTAGGAACGCTGAACACGCTCCCATTTTTCAGATGGGGGAACTGAGGCTCCATGAGTGACAAGATCACAACTTGTAAGCAAAGGAGCCGGGATGTGAATCTGTAAGTCCGAACCCGGAGCCTACGCTCAACAGGCCCCTCCGAAGAACCATCCTTGTCTCCTCCAACATCTCACCACACACCCTCAAAATCCAGCGGGTGTAATATTTCCCGTTGTGGCCCCAGCGCCAGAACAAAACAATACTTGTCCGCGAGCAAGTCCGATGGACGCCGGCCCCGCCTGGGCTCCGAGGCCGCGATCCCCCCAGTTTCTCACACAGGGAGCCCCGAGCCCTCCGGGCGGCGCAGGAAGCGCAGGAGTGGCGTCGGGAGCCCGGGAAGGCCTGCCCCACCGCGTGACCTTGGATCTGCCACCCTGCTCTGGGCCTCAGTTTCCCCAACCCGGCTTCGCGGGGGACGCCTCTTGGGAGCTTCTAGCCAGTGGAACCGCAGGCCCCTCACACGCCCCCCTCTGCCGCCCGCCTTCCCGCCCCGCTTACGCTGGAAGGCGGCCGCTCCAGAGACGCCCACCATCGCCGAGCGCCGCCCGCCGCGTGCTGTCCGCCTCGGGCAGTGGCCCGGGTCCCTCACAGGCGCCGCCGCGGGACCTGCAGCAGCGGAATTCGCCAACACTACCGCCGCGGTTGTCTCTGCCGCCGTCGTTGCAGCCGCCGTTAGGCCGCGCTCCGCACCTCCCCCCCGTTGGCCCCGCCCCGCCCTCCGGGCACGCCTCCGCCGCGCGCTCTCGCCCGCCAGACAAACGCACGCGGAAGCCCTGCGCAAGGACCCTCTCGCTCTAAACCCCACCCCCTGACCTGACCCGCCCCTTCCGCGCCAACCTCCTACCCTATCCCGGCGCATGCTGCTTCCTAGACCCACCCTTCCCTCCATGGCGTCACGCGCGGCCGTCACGCGCACCACCGGTCTTCTAGCACGGAGCTTCTCGGAGCGTGTGGCTAGGGTAGTGGCCCAAGCTCGGGGGCGGAGTCCTAGGGGGCGTGGCTTAAGGAGAGGGCTCGCCTCCTACCTGAGTTCTCCAGGTACAGGCCTGATTGCCTTTACGCATATCTTTTCTAAGTACCTTACCCTTTATTTGCGCACAGTGTTCTAAATGTCTAAACTGTAACCATTTTTTTCTTTCTGAGACAGTCTGTGTTGCCCTGGGTAGACTGCTGTGGGATCATTGCTCACAGCAAGTTGAAACTCCTGGGATCAAGCGATCCTCTTGCCTTGGTTAGGCCTAGGCAATAATGGAAAAATACCAGTTAACTTCTGACAAATTCCTGGGCTGTAAAGCCCTCAACAAAATGGAAAAAGTCTGGTTTTACTCCCAAGATAGATGGGAAAGTACTCACTAACTTCTTGCTTGACTAACTCCTGGGCTTGGGAAACGACCAGGTGGAGAAAATACTGAGACAAAGATGTATGGAGGGAAAGTACTGAAACTGGGCTGCGCCTGTGGCTCAAGGAGTACAGTCTGGCCCCATATGCCAGAGGTGGTGGGTTCAAACCCAGCCCTGGCCAAAAAAGAAAAGTACTGGAACTATGATGTATGGGAAAATATTAAAACAAAGATGTATGACGTATGTGTAACCACAAAATTCTGTTTGTGTATAATGCTTACTTGCTACCCCCACCCAAATGCACCTGGACAGCCTGCATGCCAACCAGGATGCAGACTAAGACTTGAAAACCTGACCCCTTAAGCAGTCAGGGCTGCTCTCAGAAACCCCATGTTGGGACAGTGAGGCAGTCGCCAGCCCACTCTTCAATAAAAGGACTCTGCTATAAATTTGGCTTGTTTGGCAGTGTGGTCTCTGTGGAACTCCTAGGCACAACACCCTGAGTAGCTGAGACTACAGTCCCCTGCCACAAGGCCCGTATAGTTTTTCTTTTTTTTTTTTTTTTTTTTGAGACAGAGCCTCAAGCTGTCCCCCTGAGTAGAGTGCTATGGCTTCACTGCTCACAGGAACCTCCAACTCCTGGGCTCAAGCGAGTCTCCTGCCTCAGCCTCCCAAGTAGCTGGGACCACAGGCGCCCAAGCACAACGCCCGGCTATTTTTTGGTTGCAGCCATTATTGTTGTTTGGCGGGTCCAGGCTGGATTCGAACCCGCCACCTTAGGTGTATGTGGCTAGCACCTTAGCCGCTTGAGCCACAGGTGGTGAGCCAGTTTTTCTATGGTTTAGTAGAGACAGGGTCTCGCTCTTGCTCAGGCTGGTCTGAACTATTGAGGTCCCGCAATCCTTGTGGCTCAGCCTCCCAGAGTGCTAGGATTACAGGCATGAACCACTGTACCCAGCCTACCATTATCATCATATTAATAGCCATTAGTTATCATTATTATTATTGCGCTCTTAACTGGTTCAGGCATTATTTTTGTACACTACATGCCATTAATTCACAATGCACGTGAGGAAAGGGCTTATCCCACTGCTTACCCTACCCCTAGCTGTTAGTAGACAGAAAACAGTAATGTGATAGGAAGCAAAGTACTTTGGACTTGGCTCAGCGCCTGTACATACACCTACACCGAGGCTGGCAGGTTCGAGCCTGGCCCGGGCCTGCTGAACAACAATGACAACAGCAACAACAACAACAAAAAGCTGGGCATTGTGGTGGGCACCTATAGTCCCAGCTACTTGGTAGTCTGAGGCAAGAGAATCGCTTAAGCCCAAAGAGTTTGAAGTTGCTGTGAGTTGTGATGTCACAGCGCTCTACTGAGGGTGACACAGTGAGACTCTGTCTCAAAAAAAAAAAAAAATCCAGCCGGGAATGGTGGCTCACGCCTGTTGTCTCAGCGCTGTGGGAGGCCGAGGCAGGTGGATCACCTGAGCTCAGTTGAGTTCGAGACCAGCAGAAGACCAGCATGAGCCAGAGTGAGCCAGAGTGAGACCCCATCTCTACAAAAAAAAAAATCCAAATTCTTCTATGTACAAAGACATCATGAACACAATTCCTTTAACTTTGTCTTTTCCAAGCAAAAGACTGGAAGAAATATTTGCAGCAAAGCCGACAAAGAATCACTATGCAGAATACAGAACTACAAACTAATAGGAAAAAAGATAATAGAAAAATGGGCAAAGAGAATAGTAGACAATGCACAGAAAAGAAAATCCGAATGATAAACACCAGAAAATGATGCTTAACCTCTAATAAGTCAGGAAAACACTCAAACAAGAAATTACCATATTACATGATTGGAAATTCCACTTGTGGGTCTGTATCTCAAAGAAGTACTTGCTTATGAGTGCAAAATTTGTATAGGCAAGAAGTATATCTCAGAATGATTTATGGCTCGGCGCCTATAGCTCAACCGGCTAAGGCGCCAGCCACGTACACCTAAGGTGGCGGGTTCGAATCCCCAGCCCGGACCCGCCAAACA